CATTTTCTCCGATTTTTGAGAGAGGACTGGGGCGAGTTTCAAAATAGAATGTATGTGAAAGGGGGAAGAAAGTATTAAAAAATCCGTTTTTACAGAATTTACATCGAGATATCACATTTAGGACACAATGTGATAAAGAAAGTGTTTAAATGAAAATCAAAGTGAGTAAGCACAAGTTAAACATCCACTATCGAGGTTCTCCGAGAGGAGGTCGAACTCAGCAACACGCGTACTGCTTACGTTATGCACATTCCCAACACATTGAGTCTCACCTCGGCAAGAAACAACAGCAAGCAAAAATTCCAATAGCGTTTCTCTTCAGTCAACTTCATTTTAATAATATTACTTCACACGCTCTTTTTTACGGCGGCCATCTTGTTATGCGCAGTAAGAGATGCGCAGTGCAAAACTAGGGAATCACCTTAACAGCCACTGGGGCCAGTCCAATAACTCTGTAGAGCGTTTTCACATGACGTCGCGGTGGCCAATTTGGTGCAGTGTTGGTGTTCCAAAACAATAAAACGGCGGCCAAGTTGGTGTTCCAAACAAGTCCTGTGGGAGTTGAACTCTTTCCTTCTGTAAATCCTTTATTTTGTTCCAATACGTTTGCATAAATACTGGCCACGTGAGTGAAAACGCTCCATTGGACATCCTCAGATTTCGTGAGAGACTGGGCCGGCCGTTGCTACTGTCTACTTTGTCATCATGGGATTCTTTTGAGTGGGCTGAAACTTCCTAATTTGGTTATTACCAGGCTGCGAAGAAAGCTTGAGTCAAATTCTTCCCCCAAAAATTAACAGTCTTATTTAGTGCAATTGAAGATAGATAGATAAACACCATTTAACCATGCACGGGTCATCCATCAGCTAGTTACGAAGAGATCTCAAAATATAACTACACAACTATGATTATATTAAACTAAACATTAAACTACAGTATGTTAAAAAGCTGCTTTCCGTGAATACCGTGCCTTAAAGAGGTTTACTGATGGCACGTTTGAACGACTCGAGGGAACAGTGATGTGCGCCATGCCTTGCAAGGAAGGCTATTGCATAGTGTAGTGCCACACTATAACTAAAACCTTTTTGAAATAATTTGTGCGTGGTAATCGAACATTAAGTTTGTTCTCGGAGTCCCTTAGGTTGTAACTTGTACTGCGCTGAGATAATCTTGATGCTAAATAGTCCGGAGCTAACCCATGTAGGCATTTGAGAACCATGACGGTATGTTTCGTTGGCGGTCAAGATTTTTCCACCCCAAAATTGACCAGCATCAACGTCATAACTTGAGAATGTGAGAACGCGGGCTGCTCCATTATGCAGTTTTTGCTGCTTATCTTGTAAAATTATCCCACGGGTTCCCCAAACACCACTACAGTAGTCGAAGTGAGGTTGAATTACAGCTTGACATATAAGATGAAATGTAGCCTGGGGAACCAGGTCTCATGGCCCCGATTTCAGAAGCGATCCTTTTTATTAGGTAGAACATGTAGAACATAATTCAACCAACATAATTGTAGAACATTTTTTCCTGCTTTCAGCCTAGTCTCTCGACTTTTTCGCCCATGTTCATTGCCCCCTTAAATTTTAAATGCCGGACGTCAACTGGTTATTTTTAAATGCTCCACACAGCCAAAACCTCAAATATGCTATTTTATTTTAACCCAATAATGAAATCTTGTCACAGCTACAAAAAACCCTAATTCAGCAATGGTCACGTGACTGATGACGTCAACACCCTAGATGTGACATGAGAAGATATTTTATGGGAAATGTTATCTTGTTGTGGTATGACATGGCTTCTACGTATAGAATTGTCAAAGTTATAGAGCTTTTAAAAAAATTGACAACGTTACAGTCAAGAAGACTTTTGCAGGGACTGATCAAACAACGTGAAATAGAGTTAAGTTGCGACATTTCGACTTAGTGAAAAAGATTACCTCTAAGGTATGACAATCATAATTTACTTTTATAATGATAATTATTATTGTTCTTATTATCAATTTTTTTTATTGAAAATTTACACCGCCAGCGATATTGTAGTTGATTTTTTTGTTGGCTGCGGGTAACAACAAGTTGTCTCCAAGGAAGCCAAGGAACACACGCCTTTGCGGTTTGCTTTCCTCTCCTCTCTACATCTCCTGTATGAATTATGGCTCCGTCACTGCCTGTCAGTCTTCTATGGCTATGAATGAGTTCCTTTTGTATTTTGCTTACTTTTCAAATTATACAATAAAATAAATACAAAATAAAATTCAACAAAAAGGGCATTCAGATTGGTAAATCATTCGGTACAAAAAGTGGTTGTTAGCAACAACGAAACCTGGTTGCATGCCGTGAATTCTCCAATAAACGACACGTAAAAAGTATTAGTGGCGCTGAGATCAACAATCCAAAACAGCACTTAGTCAACCATGCAAAACCACGGCCTTTCTGTCAGACTCGCTGTTTTGTCGTTATTTCTCGTGGCATCTCTGCGGCATTCTGTAATTCTCACTAACGGTGGGAAGGCAACGGATTATCTCTTCAGATAAATGGTAAGTTAGCACTGTATTCTGAGTATT